TCGATATGGCGGCTCTCGAAGGTTATGCTGCCCTTCTACGAGGAGTCGGTCACGAAGTCAAAATTATCACCATGGACGGAATAGAGATGAAGCGGACTCGAATCAAGGCCGCGAAGCATATCTTCGAGCAGTGCAAGAAGGCGGAAACCTTCCGGCAGGAGGCTCTATTCGATGAGGGTGTCGTGGAGCTTGATGATATCGACGATGGCGAAAACTACTACGCTGGTTTCATTTTTACGCCTTCAGTAGCAACGCATATGTGCGCCACCGCTCGAATGAATTGTGCTGCCGACGCGGAGCACTGCGACGGGGTGGGACCGAAATCGTACGGGACTACATTTGATGTAGTGGCGTATGAAGCCAATAATCACCTCACGCCGCTCGTATTTGCCCACTCTGTTGGACCGGAATGCTATGATTCCTGGAAGATGATGTTCCAAGCGTGTGCAATGCTTGATGGATTCGATGTGGAAACTCGCACCACAATCGTGGACCAGGAGAAGTCAATAGAAAAGGCGTACCGCGAGTGTTTCAAGAAGGCGAAATTCTTTCTTGACCCTCTGCATGTGAGAAAGATCTTGGGACCCAATCTTGGCGCTGAAAAGGCCATTGGATTGCAACTCTACGAACAAGCGGTGCACGCGCCCACAGTGGAAGCTCTTGAGGATGTGATGCGCCAGTTCTCGCCAGAAATGAAGGCTTATCTCGGTCGTTTCGATGCCGCGGAACTGTATCGAGCACCGAGCGGACTACAGGACTTGACGACAACCTCCCAAGGAGCCGAAGCTAAGATGTCTGCGGATTTGAGAAACCGTATACGCTCTTGCGAGCCCCAAAAGATGCTTGCGCACGTGCTACTCATGCAACGGACTGGATTCCTTAAACGCCAGGCCATGGCTCTTACATCGAAGGATCCAGTCCCGCCATATGTGGAGAAGCACATTCCCTCGATCATTACGAGAGCACGTGTTTACTTGCCAACTGTGCGACTTGTTGCCGGAACCAAACCAAATGCAGGCTATCGTCAGAAGCTACACGAATGGGTTTCCGCAGCGGATGGTGTCAATCGCGGAAAGCAGCCAGACTCCGCATTTGTGCTGTGCATATTCAAAGCAGGGTACCGGCTTCCCTTGTCTAAACGAATTGGCAGTTATTGCCGGGAAACACGGTTCTACCAACCTGCAAATGTTTATTGACAGGCGTCATCTGACTTCTACTTGGAAGGGGCAGTGCAAGGATGTGAGATTTCCGTTGCCGGAGCCAGCTGCTATCGATCAGGTTTTTCTATCCGCGAAAAAGCTTGTGGCACTAGGTAAACATTTGCAAGTTCCGAAAGCACTTGCGCCCCCTCGAGGGCGACCTGTGAAGAATGCAGGACAGAGAAAGAAGGGATGGTTTGAACGTGGGCCCAGCACGAGAAAGAAAAAGAGCTATTCGTGTAGCTTGTGCCATTGTGAGGGCCATGTAAGGGCGGATTGCAAGCTGAAGCAGCTTTTTGAGTAGGTCGCTGTCGTCTATGTGTGGACGTATGTGTTCGTGGCGTGGGTAGAGTCGCCCATCTGATTTGTACTGGGTTTAGTTGTCGCCCCTCTCTTGTGTATTACGCGAGGCGTCGCCCTAAAGTGCGCAATTGTAGCCCCTATCGTTATGGTTGTGGCCCCCTATTTCCGTCATGTGCTATGTGATCCACCATTTCCAGGGTATAACCGGAATTGTCGCCCCTTGTCTTGTCTTGACGCCCTCCTGATAACGCTTTTTGGGAGGCTGTCGCCATCTCAATATGTACTATTTTTAGTGTTACCCCTGTGATCGTTGGAATAGAATGGCGTCGCCCCTCTGATGACGAAAACTTGCGCGCTGTCGCCTCCCTACTGGCCGCTTTAAGCCATAAATCTAATTGCTCAGCAGTTTAACGGGACACAAAAGATGACTGGCACCATTATCGATGTAGGCGGTCACCTAATGTCCGTTGAGAGTTGCGCTGAAGAACAAATCCGTGTCTAGTCCAGCTGTGAGGCCGGACAGGTGAAGTGAAGAAAACTTATTCCCACTTTGGGGGGCCACACTCAAGCGTGGCACTACTCCCGTTTTGGCAGGCTGTTCCTTATATGGAGAAGGGTTCTTATTACGACACCCATGGTCAGGATTACTCCAGCTTTTATGACCGCACTTCATGCAGCGATAATTTTCTCGATAACGAGTGCGCTCGCCAGATTTCATTGGACCCCATGAGAGAGCACTGTGATTCTTATCGGCCCTCGGTGGTCAGTGTTGGGAACGCGTGGGTGAATCACGAGGGCCATAAGACGGTGAATGTCTCGGTTTACGGTCAGGCTTCAGTAACTTGTCATCCTTCTCGGCCCACTGCAGTGACAGGTCGAAGGTGCGGGCATTCTCGTATACATCAAGGACGTCTTTCGGTTCGCCTGTAGGATATAGTTTTGTGAATTCCTGTTTGTAATTGGCAGGGAGACTGGAAAAGAAAAACACATAAGCTTCTGAGAGGGTTGTGCTACAGATCTCGACGAGGTCTTGGAATCGTGATATGTGTGTGTCAATAGCACAAAGCATTTTGTAGTTCATGAGTGTGATCTTCGCCCGAGCCTTCTCGTCAGGAGGAGCAAATTAATGAATCACAGCTCCTTGAAGTGCGTCGACGGAAGTGGGTTTAGTACCGGCAGACTCCATCCGCATTATCCATGCCGCCGCTTTGTCCTGGAGATGGCACTCTGCAAGAGACAATTGTTGAAACTCAGTCATTCGGGAGAGTGCGCCAACTTTCTTGACGTTATATATGAAGCCTTTAAACTTTACAGATGTGCGTTCATCTCGATTTCCATAGAATGGTGGAATAGTTGGGGCTTTAAGGGAGAGAAAGTGTGATAGATGCGGCGAATTGGACGGAGTGGAATCGGGAGCGGTTGGCGGAGTCTGTTGCTGCAATGCAGCAAGCTGTTGCTGTTGTGTCAAAAGCTGTGAATGAAGATTGGCAATCTCGGCTTGCGCGGTGCTGACTGGAACCACAGTTTCTGCAGCTTCCTGATACAAGGCTTCAATTTCCGTCTGCTGAGCGGACAAAATTTCACGAAAGGACGTGAATTAGGCGAGGATAGTCTGAAGCGCATCCGATTGCGGTGCACTTGGTTGAGGATTGGAAGACGTGGCGTTGCGATCGCTCGCGCTAGGAGCGATGCGATGGGACGGCATGGGGAACAGGAGCCCTAAGTAGTTGCTCGGAGACCCTATCAAATGGAAGCAAGTCTACTCCTTCAAGTGAACAGAAAGAAGAATGAAGGTTTACTGTTCTGGTCCCCTCCCCGGTCTGGGTCGACGTGAGCTCGAACCCTATTGAACCTGAGGATGTACCGCGACTAACGACAAAGCGTGGTGCTGGGTCGCATCCGTAATACAAGCACGTTGCCCTAATTGTACGTCTACTGTGGTAATAGTTATCTACACGTAACATGTCAGACCTCTAATCATACTTAGTCTTTTCTACCCTTGCCTTATTGGTGGGGAATACAGTAGCCCCACATAGTGTTGCAATCATTGTTTGCAAAACCATAATTTGATATCGATTAAAATTTGCACAACAGCCGTAGTAAAATGTATCTCCGTATTAGAAATTTGTGGCGCTGGGACCGCTTTGCAACTCGGATTTGGATTATGCAGTACTGCTGAGAGTTTTGAGCTCCTGTTGAAGGGACGCAAATTACGGAAAGACACGGAGAGGGGTCCATCTTTGATTAAATGTTAAGAGTAGCCAGGAAACGTGGCATAAACTTCGCAAAAGAAGAGCGGCGCGTTTACCACCCCAGTAGTTCTTTTGCAAGGTACCTTTAAAACGATTGGAACACTGTGAATGCGTGCTACACACTACGAAGGTAAGTTGGGAGTCTAAAATGCGCCTTCTGAAAGCACTTGATGAACTTGGCTCTTGAGCCTCTCGTATGACTGCCCTATTTCAGAATACAATCTGAGACTACCCCAAATAATTGGCGCAATGCATTGTGTCAATTTCCTTGATGTGGAAATGACCTGACATTGGTTGAAGGTGCCACTAAAAGCAGATACTATCTGCTATCTCAACGCCATCTCGCCAGATCAGAAGACCCGAGTGCATGGCATGCAAAGCACATTTGTTAAATCTTATTTACTGATTAGTTTCCCTCAATATTAAAACCGGTGTTTTAGTATGAAAAGGCTGCTTTTCATCATTTTATTTCACATATCGCGGTAGGTGACCGACTGGTTTGCAGAACTTTGTCTCGTAACTCGTCAATTGTTGGGGAGACAAAATGTTGCAAATCGGGTCTTCTCATACGTTTTGCAACTCGATTTGCGATATAACTAGCCCGGTGGAGGCTCCAAAACTGCAAATTGCAAAATATGACTCAATTGGTGACTGTGGCGGTGTGGGAGCATAGCATTTGAAGGTGGAGTTTTACTGTAGTAGAGAAATGCATCTCAACGAAATTATTGAAATGCACCAAACGGTAGCATTTAGTAATTTCAGATGTCGAAGAAGAGTGCATCCTCTACTACATGGATTTTGTGATAGTGCAAAACATAACATGGAGAGAGAATCAAGGAGGACGGGGAGTATAAATACAGAGGGAGTCGAGACAGACTAGCTGCCAAGATAAGCAAGAACGAAAACAAAAGCCACAACAATAAAAACTGCGATTCCCTTCATTCGCCCGGTCCTGCCGGTTAACCCTTTATTGTTTCCCCTTTTCTTTTAATTTTTTGCGACAGGTGGAGATGCACTACATAAGAGCATATACTTTCAGTGCGCTCTGTAAGTTCTTGATGCAGGCTTACAGTGGAGGGCATTGCGCCCTATACATTACAGTTACATGGCACTGTAAGCGGCAAGAGGGCGAAGAAAGATATCCAGGAAAGTTGGCGTGTACACGTGTGCCAAGAATCGCATCACTGAAATCAGCAAGGAAAATATTAATGGCGATTATTAGGTTTCGACGAGGCTTCGGCCACCCATGAAGCGCTACCTCCTTCCGTTGGGATCCATGCACCCCCGTTCGGCAACGTTGCAACTCCTCGTGTTCCATCCGCAGCGCCCCCCTCCCCCATCCGGCCTCGCCGGCCCTGGCGGGGGTCGCCGCGTATGCCCAAGGACCCGCCCGCTCCGCGTGGCGACCCCCGGCGTCCCGCACTTACCGAACAAGGCTCCTGATGCCCGCGGGGGCTGCCGGTCCGCGCGGCCAGTCCCGCGCGTGTCGGCCGCCGAAAGTACTGCCGCCCCCGGCAATAAAACATGACGCCTCGGCCGCCGCCACCCCGGCGTCCACGGAACTAACTGTTGCCTGACCGATCCCTGCGTCAAGATTTCGAAGCACCAAATAAACATGAGCGCCTCGCCTTCCGCTGCTCCGCCCGCCGACGCCGCCGTCCCCGCCACGGGGACGCAGCTCTCCAGCTCCGATGCTTCTTCGTCGGATACCGTGATCAAGGTCGGGCACGACATCGAGCACGGGGGCTGCCCGCCGCTCGCGGATGAGGGCGCAAAGTTCACCAAGTTCTACTTTTTCGCGGCCTTCTTCGCCGCCGCTTCGATTCTCCCATTTGCCTTTCTGTTCCTGTGCTGCCCGCAGAGCTGCGGCATCGTTGGCAAGAGAAGAAAAGCTTTCATATGGGGCGCTACGGTGGGAACGGTTGCAGCCGTTGGCGTCGTCGCCCTACATTTCTTCATCGGATACGGCATTTTTCTCGCTTGGTGGATGAGCAAGTACGATTACATTTGAGCGCCTTTCGCGAGAGGCGAGGCGAGACGTGCCTGTGAAGGCTAGAGGGGGCGAGGAGGGGTATGGCAAGTTGGGTATGCATGTGTATGTATGTGCGGCATGGTGTTTGTCTTTCGGCGGACCGGCGAGTGTGAGTCTTGGCGGCAAGTTGATCGCGCGAGGCTGAGCTAGCGGACATAGTTGGGGCCTGACTTGTACATTAGTCGATGTCGGATTCGGGTACCGCGCGGTCTTGTCGTTCGTGCGTGCTGTGTATGCGGATGCAACGTGCAGTACAGTAACAGAATACAGCGCTGCACTCAAGCGGCGGTGAAGACGCAAGCGAGCGGATGACGGCTGCTCATTTATCTTCAGTTACTTTGTACAGTAAATGCGATTGTTGACCCACATTACGCACCGTTAGCATTCGTAAGGCAGCAGCGCCAGATGCACGTCCCGATGAGACCTGCTGACCAGGCCGAGCGTTGTGCGTCAATACCACTCCCTATGATTGTAGGCAGATTTGCTTGCTTGCATGGAATCCATGCAGTAAGGCAGTACGTGCGATGTAATGCGATGAGTGCGGAAGTGTTGGCCGTCCTCAGGGCCTGCTACTGTAACAATCCGCAGAGTCTCATGGTGTTAAAAAGCACTCGCAGGGCCCCACTGAGAACAGAATTGCTGAAGTCTTGAGGCAAAGCATGACGTTCGTTTCACTATTGATAGATGTTGCATACAGTATAGCCTCGTCAGCTGCAATAACGCTGTGTTGATGCTATTAGTGACACGCAAGTTTGCTCTACACTACAGTATTATCAGTAGTAGTACAGTATAAGTATGTGCGAAACGAACCCTACACGATTGCTATCGTCACCACTGCTGTTTATTATGTTGAAGAAGCATACACTAGTTGCCCACTATTTGAAGAAACCATGAGTGTCGAGAGATGCATTTAAAACTATCGTGGAGCTTGCTGTTTTCAAAAATTAGCGTAGATATCTCATATGTAGATAGCTGTTGTCATGGAGTACGAACTGTACTTGAGATACTGTAGACGAGACAAGAAACCCGGCTCAAACCAGTCACAAGAGTCCCGAAAGGATCGTTCCTGACTACAGGAGTGTGTGCTGTCTTACGGGCGGCTAAGCCCCACGGCAAAGAGGAGCATCGCTTGATGGACATCACAGCTGCTCCACCTTTTTCTGTCAGACACATTTGTTGTACTGCACGAAGGACACGTGGGAGTACTCTAGTTTATAACATCAGAAATGGGTTTGCATACATTATGGCTTCAACCCTTCGCTGTCTGTGCATCTTGCCCTGGGCAGCAACGCAAAACCATCACGATTACAGATCAGAGCCGGGGGTTACGCAATACACAGTATTCTTGGCGAGCCCTAGCAGCTTCATCGTCCTCAAAGTTCGCGGCATTAGGTGTGTACCTACAATATATGCCACGTGCTGCATGAGCACAGGTGAATGTCGCCTAATCTGTCTCCTTAGAAAGGGGTTTGTTTGTGCCTACTGAACTGTACTGTAATCGGTGATGAATCTAACATCGTACCGTACACCTGTATCCAAAACAAGTGAGGGAGAACAGCAACAATGATACTGGCACAGTCGATCCTTGATGTATGCACACTCATGGTAGCAGCAATCTTTATGCATACATTGAGGATATGCGTGGGACAAGGTTTTATCATAACTTGTTTCATAAAACGTCCTAATTAATAGACATCTTTTCTTTGTTGAAACTACCCTGCGGTACATTCTTTTGGGAAGAAGTCGGATATGTTTTTCTGGCGTCTGTTGGAAAGTTCCTCCACCCGATGCTTGCCCTGCAATTCGGCAAGAAAGCGAATCACAAACCCGCGATTGCTCGGCTTCTGCTGCAACATTCTCTTCGTATTGACTACCGATCTCAATAGCTCATCCATAGATACATCGAATGCCTCATCCCCCCCAGTTTCCTAGGCTAGAGCATCACCGTGCCCGTACCCATGCTCTTCGCCACTTATTTCCGCGGCCGCATTGAAAGCTAGATCGCTTCCAGAAATAACAGCCGCATAGTCATCCTCATCGTTGGGGTTAATTGGCTCCTCAAATCAAACAACCCCAGCCTTACAATTTGGCACCAAACAAAAATCCGGATAATGAACGAGACACAGTGCGCAATAAACAAAACGCACACTGGTCCATAAAACAGTATCATTTATGAGTGTTCTTGTATGAAGGGACATCTGACAAGTATGAGATGCCAGTTTGACCTTTATCCATGAGAGGGGATGCATGCCGGCTTCATACAGGGGCTGAAATTGCAGGTACGAGTTCCGTTCCGGCCGTATGCGTGCATACATAGTGCACCTTCAAAGGTACTGTACCCTGGGTACTGCAAAGGATACGCAACTTGGAGGAGGCATACATCGAGGATCGACTGTATCGTACAGTATGTAGATCAACCTTGAAGGTACCAAGGGTACTTATTGTATGGTTTGCTCCTGTCACCTTAGCATCATGGGCCCAACGATTCATCGCATGATGATTTTCGAGCATAGCCATTGCGCCCATTCGCTGTTTGTAGGTTTGGATGCTATTATTAGACCTTTTCTATGCTTTGCAGCTACCCTAAGGGTAGATAGTGACTATCTGCCAATAGCGGCACGAGTCGATCAGTACGAAATTCTACCACCAAATATGAAATTCGGACAGATTGTATGCTATCCTTGCAAGTGATAGCATATTGGTTTGGCTAAATGTATGGATCTGGGGGGTGACACGTTCGGAAATGACCCATTGAGTTTTTTGTTCATGGATGATGCGTGGAAGGCGTCCGAATTAAGACAGCATGTGCTCAATACCACAAAGGTCATCGCGAAATTGCTGCACGGAACTCTTGCCCTACCCACCATGCTTTCAAAGGAAGAACTAGGTATGTTTTCTTTTCCGACGTCCATTATGAACCTCAATTTTTCCTTAAAGTTATGCTAACGGGGCCGCAGCCAATACTATAAAGTACAGGAAGATTCACTGTATGTACCACCAGAACAATACCACTTTGTATCCCTTACTCGTAGCATTCTAAGTGTCTCCATCTGCGGCTAAACTCGGAAAGGCAGCCAGAACTTTCCGCTTCTCGCAAGGAAGGCGTTCGCTTGGGCTTGGTCCAGAAGCAACGCTCAATAAAATATTTTTCAGCTAGGAACAATTTTAGTTCTCTTCTTTTCGGCATCTTTGATAATAGAAATGATACAGTACATATGATAAACAGGTTGGTGACATGGTGGCTCTATCCACGCGAGACGGAACAACAATACACCATACAAGTTATGTACAGTACTTCATATTCTCATTTGCGACGTTGCTGATCCACAAAATTGCAATTGAAGAAAGGTACAACGATGCAATCAGTCCATCTATTCAATGCTCGCCCCGCAGTAGTGCAACAGGACCAGTGCGTTTTAGAGCATGGGCTACAGAGCCCACGTTCTCAACGTTTTGGAAATAGACGTAAGTTTAAGTATGGCTGATTGTTTAATGATTCGATATCGAACAGAAGCAAAACGTCTGTTCTCGTTTTAACTCTTGACATGACCAGGTAAATCTTCCTCTCCTCCAGGTACTAATCTATGTGTGGCGGAAATATTCCATACCGTATACAATCCGACAGGACAAGTATTCTTGTCGAAACCCCGATATGGACAAGCACGTTCGATCGGTGAGCCTTAGAACTGGTACACGATTATGATCGTGACGTTTGCGGTTCGGGTTATTTTTCTTACACTGGTTTAGCTGTGCTGCTCTGCCTGACTCTTCTTTTTCAATCTTTCTAAACATGGAATTGTTTCTGATTTCAGTTTACTGCATCGGCACTGTTGGCTCCTTCCCTTAACTGTAGGAGGAATGCGTATATGCTGCAAAAGGGACTTCTTTATGTCCACACAATAGAAAAAAACACGAGAGTAGCTAGGAATACAAACAGATGGAGTCTTGCTCTTAAGGGTTTGAAACCGCAGAAAAGCGTGATGCATGAATACCATGAAGCTGTCTTGCACTGTGTAGACACGAAAACATTAAATACTGTACAGGGCGGAAACAATGTACAGTTATTTTTTACGCAGTTCTGTGTGAACTGGATGAAACTCTCTCAAAAGAGTGCTTAGGCCAGCTCGTCACCATCAACTGCACTGAACCTAGAAAATGACAGGGGTTCAGCTCGGATATCTGTTCTGCTTTCCGAAATATACACTTTGAGATATGTTACGGGGACCAGTAATTAGATTGGCCGTCATGATCAATCATGCCTTCAGTACTTTTCTAGATGTATGTCCCTCCCATTTCACGATGAGGTCTTAACATAAACGAAGCAATAGTGGGGGATTTGGTGTGACAGACCTACACAACTTTTCCAAAACTCACAAACGGTGACTATCTACGCCATGACTAGCTCGTTGTTTGATGAGTACCGGAGTAAGCCTTCAGCTTCTTGTCCTGAATATTGGATGGTGCAGTAAATTTTTAATCCCTTTTGTTGACATGCAGATGTCGACATTCTTGTTGAACAGAAGACAGAAACACTAAAGACAAACGTAGTGTTTCACAAGAGGCTGCTGACATACAGTAAACTTTCCTTCTTCAGGGGTGATAAATGTCAAACTGCATCCTGTATATACGAACTGTTGTTGTGCAAATCTTTTCTGGGATTACAGGTTTGGGTAGCACTGTACTTCACAATCGATGTGGTGTTGCGGAGTAGAACTATAGCACACGTCATACAGCAAACGTTTAGGCTCATGATAACTTACCTGTTCGATCTACCCATCGATATGAACGTTCCCACCAATTGGCGAGCTAGCTCTCATTCGTAAGATCGATTCCTTCCTAGCGTTTCTCAAACTGTATTCTGTGGAGCGATGAGCTTGGAACTTGGCTTATAAAAGGGGAGGCGGAGGACCCACACTCCTCTTCTTATCTCTCATTTGCTGCAACATTGGATCGGTCGTTCTCTCTTTACGCAAGTAACAGATAAATCGGTTGTCTGTGTCAAGATATCTCGTCAAGAATGAAGGTTTTCGTCTTACTTATGGCATGTGTTGTTCTTATGCTCTCGCCGAATAGCGTGCAGGGTACTACGGCAGGCGCAGCGTTGAGGCAAACCTCGCAATGTCCGTGTCTATGCTTCGCTAGGGGAAGGCCGCGCCGGCGTGCAGGACGGCAGTGTCGACGACAAGTATATGACGGTTGTGAAGTCCAGCGATGCCAACGAAACGGACTCAATGGGTGGCAATGCTGTGATCCGGAAGTATCTGTATCTCCGCCACCGACAATTTCAGAAACCCCAGGACCAATGACGGAGACACCCGTAATTTCAACCATGGAACCAATGACACACACCCCGGAAGAGATGATACACACCCCGGAAGAGATGATACACACCCCGGAAGAGATGACTCCGGACGTTTCGGAATCCCCAACACCTCCCCCGACAATCTCGGCAACCTCCTCAGTGACCCCCAGCTCACCTTGTCCGTGCAAGTGCGTGAGAGGTCGTCCGAACAAAAGGAGGCTTCGCAGACGATGCAAGCGAATTGGCTCTCCTTGCGGCATCGTTAAGTGCAAACATGGGAAAATTCAGTGCTGTCTCCCGACGGCGGATCCGTAGGAACTTGGCATCCTCATATGACGAGTACTCTGCCGCAGTCAAAAGCCACCGCTTTGCATGTTGTGTTAGTTGGTTTCAGCCGTAGAGAACAGGCAATCTTTTTGGATGCCACACACCCTTTTCATCTACCTACACTTTAGAACACCATCATCTGATAAATGTTACGGTTATGGGCTACGAGTGTTGCGTTCTGCACTCGCGTTGCGTACATCCGCTGCGTAATATATCTTGTGTATTCGTCTGTGCTCTGGCTACTTCCGAGCTTGCAACTACCCTTAATTTAGTTTTATTGTTTGTTGGTCGAAAGAGGGAGGAAATTTGTCGGTGCCGGAGTGTCTGTCGGTTGTAATCATATTGCACTAGTATACCGGTCAGGATGTTTAAGGGTTCTACTAAGAACTGCGGGGGACCTCATGTGAAATGTCGGCGTTTAGAAGAATCTATCGTTTGCTCCTTATTGTGCCTTCTGGAACGTAGCACTGCCACTTCTAATCGCTACCAGTTCGAGAAACAATCTAGACAGCAGGTTTATGCTCCGAGCGCTTCTGCACATCTATACAAGTAGGCTACATTACCTATTCAGCAACGTCCACATCCATCAAAGTCTAACGAAACAGGGAAATACATTCCTATTGTTTTGCTCCATCACGGTCTACCGTACATTCTTAATGCAATACAGTGAGCTGCGTACATGAAGAGTACGGTACATTGACTTCTTACTTCTTCCAGAAAAGCTCATCCGTTTTCCATCTGAATAGCACCTCCTGTGAGTGCTGACAGTTAAGGTCGTCATCCCCAAACAGAAAGGACATGTTGTTGCTTCTCAGACAGGGGTGCCGTTGTAACTGAGCCGGCAGTCACGTTTCCTGCGTCTTTGTCACTGAGTATAAGTAGACGAAAGACTGCTCGATGGCGAGTATTTCTCGGCAGACGACACCGAAACAGTTCTTCAAGACTGACATGAACTGTATGGGAACTTTTATGTTCAGGTTCTATTTTCATAATCAGGATCACGATAGACTGCAAGCGCAAGGTCTCCACCATTTACGAAATGTTGAGTTAATATTTTGTGAGGCTGTGATATACAATGTCTACAGCTTTATTGCTTTTGAGAAAGATGTGCCTCGCTGTTGTGAAATCCAGGGGGGGAAGATACAAAAGTATTCTTCCAGTGTGTGTGACAATATCCAAAGGATGGTCGTCTCGCGCAGAAGCGCACGGGGTCTCGCGTACGAACGCGGTAGCAAATTCTTGCCAAAGAATATCGTGAATACTCACAGTTGGTGATTTAGTACGTGCCCTTTCTTCTTCTTTTCCTCGCTCTACAAAGCGGTAGGGTACATATATTTGTCAGTAACGAGAACGCCGCATCTCTAAGAGTTGCGCTCGCTGTCTGCATTATTTTCTGTCAGCTCTCCGAAATGCTGTCTGCTTCTTCCACATTATCAGCAACGAGCTTCTACACGTGTTATCTGTGTCAACGTATCCCATCTCGCACACGTGTGTCCGTTGTGAGTACACACGAGTGTTGACGACTGACAAGCGCATGTGTTTCTCTACACACCCGCAATTTTCTTGTCGGAGGACAACACCTGTTTGTGCGGCGGGGCCATGACCCACTGTCGGACGTCGTGTTGCACAAGGTGAGAGCGGAGCAATCCCTGTAGAGCGCTGTTGCTCTTAATTTTCGTCAGGGCGTCAGCGTAATTAACCTCGGAGCTGATAAGGGCAACATTAGAAATGACCTTCGTTTGATATGCTTCTCGTGCTGCCGATATGTCAACCATTAGTCTTTTTTCTGTTGTATACCTCGACTTAGTCAAAACTTGGAATAGAGCCTCGCTATCCGTGAACATCAGCAGCGGAATTGATCGCCCTAAAATTCTTGAAAGGTCGTGTTTGATTAAGTATGCGCAGTCAAAGCCTTCTACAAAAGCGAGAGTTTCACCAGCCATTGATGATCTCGTCACTCGCGTCGATTTGTATGAAGAGTAATGCAGAAACGCGCATCGATCAAACTTGTCTGCTAACAAAATCAAGTACCCCAGCTGCGACCTGTTCTGTTCCCTGTTGTTATGTGAGGCGTCAGTGTACACCAGCAGCCTGACCGAATTTATGTCGAGCTTTGGGAATCTCAGCTGAACCTCTGCCGTTTGCTTCAAATGCTTGACAATTCTGTTCAAAGCCTGGTTACAGTGAGTGTCATGAATGCGTTCAGTGATCTGTGCGGCAAAGGACACAGCGCATGCTATGTCTGGTCTCGTGTGTACGACCCAGGCCAGACGAGCCCGGAGAGATCTAAACTCTTGAAACGTGGAGGTCTTTGTCAGGAACCTTAGTCTCTCGATATATTTCTTTTGAGATAACTTTCGCTCATTCCTATCCGAGGTGTCACATTGGAGCCCTGTATAGGTGAAACTTGTTTCGTTGTTCAGTATGATGTCGAATTCATTCTTAAAGTGAGTTTGCAAGCGCTTTTTCTCTTCCTTTGTACCTGCTTGAAAAACATCATCCACGTACGAGCCTGATAGGGATACTAGTTGGTCCCTTATTCGTCTAAAGAATAGAGCAAAATCCCCTGTCGACTGTTCCATTCTCAGTTTTCCTAGGTGAAACTTGTGATTGGTCTCACACCAATAATCTCCGGAGTCAGTCAATCCATACAATGGTTTCAATATTTGCACTAGTTCATCTGGTCGAAGTTCAATGGATGCTGGGCGAGTAAACACCTTGCGTTGTAGCTCTGATGCTGCTTGTAGATACGCCTGTTTTACATCGAGTGACCATACTTCGAACCCAAGAATAGTAGCCAATGCCAACATAATGCGCACTGACGATTGTTTCAGATTGAATGTATTGTGCACAACGGAGTGCTTTTCTCTATCGCGATGTCCACCAAGGACTAAGCGAGCCTTATAAAGTGTGGATCCATTATCTGCGTGTTTGATTGTGAGGACGTATCGTGACGGGACTATGTTCGGATGCGGTCCTGCCTCCTCTTCCAGTACGATCTTAAAGGTTCCCTTCTCAATTAGCCCGAGTATTTCTTTTCTTTTAGCATCGTCGAACAGATGTTCTCTAGCATCTCCAGGTTCCAGCGTTTCGGTATGCATTACTGTGTTATGGTCGGTTTCAGATTTAGAGAGTTGTTCGTCATAAGTTGGGTGTCATTGCAGTGGTGCCGGTCGAAGTTGAGCTATGTTAAAAGGACGTGGGCCAGTACTTTCTCCTAGGTGCAGACGTATGCATTTCTCCTCCACTGATGCTGCGAGATGTGGACCAGTATATTGTTTCAGGCCTTCCCGGTACACGTACGCGAAGTCTCCTGGTACGCAAACGTGATCCGCAGCCGGTGGCGGTACAGTGCGTAGGCCTCGATGCACAATGCTCCTGGCCACCACTTTCTCGTATTCCTTTCTTGCCGTGCAGGCCGCTCTCAGTCGCTCCCTTTGTACAGGAAAATTACGCTCGGATATATCGGGCAGTTTCGGGATTACCCCAAAAACCAATAGCGTGGGCACCAGTCCATGAGGTCCGACGGTCTCGTTCATTGCTTGGACCGATTTAATAAGGGCTATATCTTCGGGCAAGGCACGGTGATCACACAGTACTTTTCTAAAAATTGTTCGGAGTGTGGAGTGATACTTTTCGCCAATCCCTAAGGAATTGTGACTTTCTGTTCCTGTGTTAAGTAGCTCAATTCGGGAGGATTCACAATTGTATTTCCATTCTCGAGAAAGAAAGACAGACCCTTGATCTGTAAGTAATGATTCCGGGAATCCAACGTAAACTGAAGACCAAATTTTGATAAACGTATTCCAAATTGTGGTTGTGCTACTGTCCTTCAAAAATGCTGCGGCACTAAAACGAGTTCCAGCGTCTATAACATGCAACAAGGGTCTAGACTTTTGCCGTCTGTCTTTCAGAAACATGATGTCCATCAATATGCGATGATTGAATATGATCTTATCTGCGTCTCTGATGCGAAATGTGATTTGTTTGGGAGCATATAGAGTGCACGTCTCGCATGCCTTTGATACATCCTTGAGGGTCTTCAGAGTATCGGGTTGCAGGTTCTCGGGATCAGCTTTGCGCAAAAGGTCGTAAAGTTTGCGTGATGAAGGGTGGAGCATGTGCCGATGTAACCGCTCCAATTGGTTTCTTGTAAAGAATACGGAAAATGAAGATGGGTTCCAACAACAATACAGATGTCCATGCTTCATTTGTAAAGGGAGTGACCAATCTTGCTTCGTACAATTGAGGGATCGTTTCAGTACTGAGGGTTCCAAACCGTGTTGAAATAATGCGTCTAGTCCGATAAGCATTGGAATATTTTCACGCACTACGTCTACCTTCAGTGAGATAGTGCTTCTGGGAGTGGGTAGTAGTATTACCATTTTGCCGAGCGAAGTAGTAGGATAGGTACCAAATCTGAAACAGTTTTGAGAAGGTGAAAGGGTCAGTTTGATACGCATCGCTCTACAGTAAGCTTTTGCTTGACTGAGACCGATCAAAGATCGAGGGGATCCAATATCAATACATGCGCCGGCGAATTCCGGGGGTCGGCCTGGGGAGAACCTTCTTGATTTACGAAAGGCGTCTCTCATGTAGTGTATATCAATTGGGATCCGTTGTTCTAGCAACCTGTGTTGCTATTTCCTTTGACCAATGCTCCTTCGTGTCCCACAAATCATTCCACACTTGTGAATTTTAGAACCGGTAGCCAATGTTTGAGATTGTGAGTAGGTAGGAGGTGGAGCCTTGCTGGCCAGCGAACTGTCCACAAAAGGTGCGCTGGCAGTCAAAAATCCACTTTGTCATTGCTTATCTCTTCGGACTCTTCGTCGCTTTCTAGGCCAGTGAGCAAAGTTTCGAATGTGTTTTGGAGAGCATCTTCTAGACCGGAACCGGACTCCGTGGCGCTGTAAAGGCTTTCGAAAGTGTT